ACTATACCGCTGAAAATGCACATCACGTGACCGCAAAAACAAACAAACAAACAAACAAACAAAACACAAACACACACACACACACTCTCTGGCATGAGCTGCAGGCAGTCAACAGGTGCTGTGAGCACAAAATCCCAGAAAGCAGTGCAAGTCAACTATTCTCACCATAGTTGTTAAACATAATATTTAATTATTCTTGTCTCTATTTAATGACTCTTCGGTCTTTTAAAATCTATCAGGTAACGCGTCACAACATCGGTACACTGCTTTAATCTTTTGCTTTCACACTTATACTTTGTCATTTCAGGGAAAACCTCAGATACTGTTGGTTGTGCACCTTTTTTTTAACCATCCAAGTTTGTTGACGCCATTATAACGACACAGATCATTCTGCCTTTTCATGCCGGAGTCCCGCGTAAAAAAGTGATTGACAGGTTGTAATTTGTGTATAATTTTATATATGATTTGGTTATGATTAAAACAAACATCATGCGGGTCAGTTGAAATGGTAGGCTACATACAACACCGTTTTCTCATCCACAAAAGTAAAGGAGTAAAGAGTAAAAGAAACAGGGCCGAATGGAGAAGGCTTGTTCTTTATCCTCGTGCAGATGCTCTGTTTTACCGGAGCATTTATTCTTGCTAGTGAAGTGTTCAGTTTTTCCACTTACAAAAACCGCCATGTAAATAGCAAATGCGCCATGGTGCAAGCAACTGACTTTTAAAGGGAATGGGTAATGAGACTCCAATCGCACACATAACTCATTAAGAGAATAAGCACAACCCTGTTAGACCATTTCACCTAGATCGGGATTCGTGACCATATTTTTTAATCCTTAAAATATCAAACAAGGATTCGGACACATCCTTAATGCTTTTGCACCTAGATTGTTAAAATAGATCACTCTGTGTCTTGTGTGAATAGTGCCGTTAAATCCACATTTTTAAAAACTCAACCTGATCTTAACCAGGTTGGATTTGTTTGGTTCTGTCGATCCAAAACTCACTCTGCTCTGCATTTCAAATCAGGATTCAAGGCTAAGGATTTTTTCTACTGGCTCAACCAAAACCAAAAACAAAAAAATTCTCACAATTAATTGTCAAGAAAAATGTCTGTGAATCCAGAATTTAAATGTTTTAAAAATGCTAATGAATGTATAATGAGCAGAATTCAAGGTGTTACGCAAACAAAAATAGCAGTATGGAAAATGTGCAGGTATTTTATTGCAAAACAAAGCGTGGCTGCCTTGCCAAACTGATGGCAAACTGCAAAACATCACAATATTTTTTTCGCCATGATGTACCCTCATAAATGTATGCTTCAAAGACATTAGGAAAAGACGTTTTCTTTTAGCCTCATAATTTTATGTTGCCATCTCTGAACCTATACTGGTTGTTACAAGGTTACAGAAAAAAAAAACATGCTCACAACATCCAATCAGACAATAGGAACTGAAAAGCAATATGGTGTTTGCAACTTCACATTGAAGGTAAAAGCTTAAAAGAACAAACTGTTTCTCGATTCTGTATTTACACACTATTGACAAGTAGTCACAGAAAAATTTTACTTTAGTGACAAGGCAGCCAATCAGGCCAGTAACGATCCAGTCTACAGTCCCGAGCGTCTCTCACGCTGGCCCCATGCCATCGGGGAGTTCTTATTGTTTAGTAAAACAGGGTCCATTTAACGGCATAACGTATTTTTGGCTGATACATTTTTGGTTGCCAAAAACTCAGTACATCTCTAATATTAATACACTTCGAGATTCTAGGCTCTTTTTGGATTCTCAGAAGCTAATTAAAAATGAAAAAAAAAAACAGGAATTACGTTGGGACCATAGTTTTTGTTTACATTCATCAAAATGGTCTACATCACTGACCACAACAAAAATGTGTCCAAAAAGTTTATAGATCGTTTATTAGATTTTATGGAGATGCAAATAGTAAACATGAATTCATCAATCATTGACTAAACACATGCATGAAAATACTCACAACACATGCAAATAAGCAGACCACAACAAAAATGTGTCGAGAAGCTTTACAGAATGCATATTAGATTTTATGGAGACTTCCACTGCTAAATCATCCCAGTTGATCAAACATTATAAAGAGAGATTTTAACTTAAGTCATCTGGTGAAACTGTATTCATATCACAACACATACGCACACTAGCCACTTTATTAGGTACACATATTAACGCACATTTCTAATTAGCCAATCATATGGCAGCAAAGTAATGCATTTAGGCACGTAGACTTGGTCAAGATGATCTGCTGCAGTTCAAACAGAGCATCAAAATGAGGAAGTAAGTTGATTTAAGTGATTTTAAACATGACAGGGTTGTGAGTGCCAGGCTAGCTGGTCTGAGTATTTCAAAAACTGCTGAACTACTGGGATTTTACCGCACAACCATCTCTAGGGTTTACAGAGAATGGTCCGAAAAAAAAGAAAATTAACAGTAAGCGGCCGTTTTATGGGCGCAAATGACTTGATGATGCCAGAGGTCAGATAAGAATTGCCAGACTGGCTTGAGCTGATAGAAAGGCAACAGTAACTCAACTTGTTACAACCGAGATATGCAGAAGAACATCTCTGAACGCACAACACGTCCAACCTCGAGGCGGATGGGCTACAACAGCAGCAGCAGTGCCAATCCTGTCAACTACGAACAGAAAACTGAGGCTACAATTCACACAGGTTTACCAAAATTAGGCAACAGAAGATTGGAAAAATGTTGCCTGGTCTGATGAGTCTCGATTTCTGCTGTGACATTCAGATGGTAGAGTCAACACCATGAAAGCATGGCCTTGTATCAACGGTTCTGGCTGCTGCTGGTAGTGTAATGTTGTAGGGGATATTTTTGGCACACTTTGGGCCAATTAGTAGCAATTGAGCATCATGTCAATGTCACCGGCTACCTGAGTATTGTTGCTGACTATGTCCATCCCTTTATGACCACAGTGTACCCATCTTCTGAGGGCTACTTCCAGCAGAATAACGCGCTGGGTTATTAACAGTGAATCGTCTCAAACTGGTTTCTTGAACATGACAATGAGTTCACTGTACTCAAACGGCCTCCACAGTCACCAGATGCCAATCCAATAGAGCACCTTTGGAATGTGGCGGAATGGGAGATTCGCATCATGAATGTGCAGCCGACAAATCTGCAGCAACTGCATGATGCTATCATGTCAACCAAAATCTCTGAGAAATATTTCCAGTACCTTGTTGAATCTTTGCCAAAGGATTAAGGGAGTTCTGAAGGCAAAAGAAGGTCTAACCTGGTACAAGTAATGTGTACCTAAAAAAATGGGCTGCAAATGTATATTGCAAACTACAAAATTATCGCAATGCTACATTTTTCAAACATTATGCAGCCCTAGTGTACACAAACACCCACCTGTGGACCGTTGCTCATCAGAAAATAGATTAAAAGTGAACAAAACAGACGGATTTCAAAGGCAGGTATAAATGGGAATGTGTCTTTCTCCTCTACCTGTAATCCTATCGCCCAAAACACATCTAAATACAATGAGTAAACATGAAACTATGCTGCTCAGCAGAAGAAAGATTGCAGATCGCTTTGCAGCAGATCCTCATTTGTGTCAGACGAAAACTATTCTGGGCGGTTTTACACCTTTATGTATAAACTCTTCAGAAGTTCTCAGCTGACAAGAAATAGCCTAATACGCAGACACATAACAAAACACATTCATTTTGATACGTTCCATTCAAATCATACTTCAAATTAATAAAGTTCTCTCTTTTTGTTTCTTAAATAATATGAAATAATATCCTCTGAACAACAAAAAAGTGGTCTCATGTTGTGGTAAATTACACTTAAAACCCAAATAATCAGAAATGTCAATCTGTTCCTTCTTTCTACAAGATATGATCAGAAAGTCAGTGTCAATGAAAAGACTGTGGTGCCATCTGAGGCCGAGGCCACTTCTGTGCGCACACACACACACACACACACACACAGCCGCTTTATTAAGGAGCCTCTGCCGAATTGTTAAACAGACTCAAGTACTTCCATATGTGTGCTCAACAAGACTTACCACTGAAAGTATGAAAGCTGGGTTTCAGTGAATTTTAAACACAAAACGAACTCAAAATAACAAATCAGTGGAAACTCCTCATATATTCAGGATCTATGCTGATTATTCACTTGTTAACCAGTTAGGTTGACTGTTTTAGTGTTGACACTAAATTAACCCAGGTGATTTGGAATATCTATGAGCTCCTATTCGACTACTTCTAGGTCACAGCCTTCAATCCAAGGCTTGGTGTAAGAGCTGCTGACACAGACTGAATGTTTGTGTTTCTCAGACTCCATTCCCAGCATGCCTCAGCACGCTTTAGAGAGAAGTTGTGACAGCACAGTTCTCTTGCTACTCAGTCTACTTTTTGCTTCAGGGAATGATTTGTCGAAGTTAGAATGGTCAAAACAATCAACACCGACTACTTGAGGGGCCACTAACAGGAATCCCAAAACAAATCCATGCCCTTTGACCCATGTGCAGGTCTGATCTCCAGTGGGAGTGAATGGAGGAATTTAGGATGCCAGGAATTTCATCCGTGCCACTCTCTGCCAGACCAACAACCTCCAACATTTCTGCTGCATTTCTCAATCCCACCTCTGTAAATCCAAAAGTGCTGGAAAAGATTATTAGTCACATGTTTTAAGATTTCATGCGAATTGTTTTGTATATTGTGCACTAACAACGTATGCCAGTGTCAAAACACTTACAGGGACACATTTAAGAACCCATAGTATATAAACTCGACAGTTTTCTGTGTTATAATCAGTCTGAAACTGTTTTACAACCCTGAGGAAACAACACAAACAAACTTGCGCTTGAAGCTTCTTGTTTAACTCGAGATTTAAACACAAAACAATTGATGAAAGCAAATGTTTATAAGTTTTAAGCTGTTTTGATTTGCTCAACCTTCGAGGGAAGTTGCAAACAAAAGTGATTTTGTTTAGTCTTACCTGTTAAAAGCGGGAAGAAAAATCAGACTCTGGGAGTTCACGGAGCGGCGAGGCGGATGAACATTTGCGTTTTTGTCTGCGCTAAACGGCGACCGTGATTTGATTCGTCTCGAGCGATCCGGAGTTACATTTCGTTCAAAGTTTTCGGAGAGTTCTAGCTCTAATTGATCACATTCACAGTTCCGGGTTGAATAATGTCCCTCCCGCCCCCTGGAGGAGGGAGTGGAGACCCGACATACTCCAAAAAGATTATGGGATTATGGGACCGAAAAGAGGAGACCCGAACGACAGATTAAGCAAAACCTTCTTGTTAAAATCACAACACATGTTTAGAGTTTGATACTGTCTATAAATACTGATTTAAGGGACATACCATAACACGTTTCATAATTACTGTTTCAAAAACAAAACAACCATAAACTGTAGAAACAACTAGAAATTTAGTACTTAACAAAAGTTGTCATTATGTCTATTGTTCATTTACTAAAAATGTTTGTTTTTTTTACTACCAAATGCAATTTCTTTTGCTATTGCTGCTTCTGAACGAAATTAAAAATCCTTTATAAAATTTGCACACACTATAAAGGCTGTTTTTTTTTCCAAAAGAATCATCCATTCTCCTTGGGCTGAGTTCCTGAGTTCGATCAGGGGTCACCACAGCGGAATGAACCACCACTAAAAGGTTAACGGAGGTTAGTGCAAATGTAAAAAGAATAGTTTTTAATGAAGGAAACATATTTTTTAAAGTTATGCCTGACCGTTACCCTCATATAACACCTGTTAAGAGTTTGATGTAGGATCTCTATTGTCTATAAATGCTGATTTAAGGGAAATGCCATAACATATTATTACTGTTTCAAAAACAATACAACCATAAACTGTAGAACACATACTTTAAATTCAATATTAAAAAGTACTCATAATGTCTCATTTTCCATTTATTTACATTTTTTTTCTTTGCTTACCAAATTAAATATCTTTATTTCTTTTGCTATGGCTGTTTCTAAACAGGTAAAATTAGTTGCAGGAAGTAAAAAAAAATTTAAAAACCTCAAGTTTAAAACCCTCACACAATATTTAAGCCATTTGCGTTACCAAAAAGAGCCCTAAAACTAATGATAATATAAAATAATTAATAGGGATTGATTTAAATGAAGGAAATATAAATATATTTTTTAAGTTATACATGATCATTATCCTCATATAACACTTTTAGGATTGGATTAAACATGCATATGTCAGGCAAACTGTGACGCAGTAGGTCAGGGGTGTCAAACTCAATTCCTGGAGGGCCGAAGCCCTGCACAGTTTAGTTCCAACCCTGCTCCAACACACTTACCTGTAGGTTTCAAACAAGCCTGAAGGACTCAATTAGTTTGATCAGGTGTGTTTAATTAGGGTTGGAACTAAACTGTGCAGAGCTGCGGCCCTTTTGGAACTGAGTTTGACACCTGTGCAGTAGGTAGTGCTGTCGCCTCACAGCTGGTTCGAGCCTCGGCTGGAAAAGTTTCTGTGAGGTGTTTGCATGTTTTCCCTGCGTTCGTGTGGGTTTCCTCTGGGTACTCTGGTTTCCCCTACAGTCCACAGAAATGCAGTACAGGTGAATTGGGGTAGACTAAATTATCCATAGTGTATGTGTGTGAATGAGTGTGTATGGATGTTTCCCAGAGATGGATTGCAGCTGAAAGGGCATTCGCAAAAGAAAATGAATGAATGTTCAGGCAAGACCCAACTATTATTTGGTTTGTTTAATTTTAGACATGCATATAAAATAATTAACCCAAATGAACAATTATGACATTGAAAACAAAAACTCAATATTGCTGCCTTTAGAATACTAATATTTCAGTAAATATGTTCAAACTAGGCCTGTCAAGATATCTATTTTTTGTCATACAAAATATTGCACCAAATTAAATTGCGATAAATTATAATAGTCATTTTAGGATCATTTTATGTCACTTGTTATATAATGCCGAAATGACAAGTACACTTCTTCAAAGAACACTTATTATTTAATTCTTAAGAGTATTTCCTTTAAATGTAGTCATTTTAACAATTTAATAATCAAAAATTGTAATCAGAATGTAAGAATGTAAAAAAATGCATATCCTGGGCTAAAATGGTGATAGAATTGTTTTTTATGTGTGGGTGATATATATTGCATCACTAAAAATGATTGAGGTCTTGTCCATATATTGTGCGATTAGTTGTTATATTGATTGTTGACAGGCCTATGCAACTCAAGTTTTTTAATAACTACATTAACTACAGCCTTATTCAAATGCAAGCTGAAAAGAAATGCCATATGCAGGATATGACTCAAATACCGAGAAGCAGCATGACAGATTCCTAAGGAATTAAAGGGATAGTTCACTCAAACCTGAAAATTCTGACATTATTTAACTGAATCCTCACAAACATGTCTCGGCTTTATTTCTTTCTGTTGAACCCATAAGAAGATATTTTGAATAATGCTGGAAATCTGTAATCATTAACTTTAACAGAAAAAGGAAACTCAAAGTTTTAGATCCACTTCAGGCAGACTACGTTTTTATTTTTTTTTTTTATATTAATAGTGTTTGTAACCAAAGAGTGTTGATGGACCCCATTGACCTCCATACAATATCCGTACTACTATGAAAGATAATAGCTACTGCCACATGTATTATCACCAACATTGTTCAAAATATCAAGTTTTCAATAACAAAAAAAAAAGGATGGAAACTATGGAAGGTAATTCCTGCCAATTTAAGATCAAATAAACATTGGAAATTAAAATGAAAACCAGATTACCAATTTCCTTATAAAACACCGTTCACAAAATATCTGCCAAAAATGCAAATGAAATTATTTCATTTTAATTGTCACTGTGACAACACATTGTCCATCAAATCGATAAATAAAATTAAACTGCAAATATAACAATTAATTTTTCACAGCATTTTAACGTCAAGACTGACAATATTAAAATGAAAAGCCAAACTGAAAAATAAAATGCAAACACAATTTTTACAAAGCTTGTTATTAACATTAGCACTATAATAGTGACTCAATTCAAATTTAAATGTAAATTTAAGTTTTCATTTTCGATTTTATTTTCAACGTCAACCTGTATACATAGACTATGCTAATCAGTGGGAAGGGCTGAAATTCACAGAAAAAAATGCCGGTTATACAAAATGTAGCTGCAGAATTAGTTTTCAGATATATCATTCACACCTCTTACAAACTCTGACATAGATTCAGTAGTTACACGAAATCTTCATGAGGTTGTACAGTTTTTGCCATTTGACTTCTGTATACTTCTATATACTTCATGTATATA